AAAAGCATGTACTCAAAAAAAGAAAAAAGATCCCCAAAGAAAATTCAGAGATGCAAAAATTAACACAAGCAAAGAATTACATGGGATGTAAGAGAGGATACATCACAGGATAGAGACAGGTTGCATGAGGGGCAGCCATATCAAGCAGCCAGCCTAAACTGGAGATCAGAATGTTCTAGGAGAAATTCTCAATGATGGTTGAACTAGTTGAACAACAACAACACAGACCAACAACAACAAACAACAATAACAAAAACTTCTGAACCTGTGGAGAGGAGATGCTGATAACATGCAGAGTATGGGGGACTGAATTAATCATAAATATTGAGAAATATACAGACATAGAATGGTTATCTACCAAAAACTAAGGTATCACTGGAATGCTGGAAGAGGGCATGGGTATTTGTGGGAAAAACCTAAATTTACACCATCCACAGAGGAAGTCAACAGATAGTGCCTAAAATGGAAAAATTAAGTGGTAGCATATGTTACTTGGAAATATGGAGTTAAATACCAAAAAAATCAGACAAAAAAAGTATAAAAACTGTTTTCCCCAGAGATGGGGATATGGGGGCTTTAACAGCCACCCTGTCCAACATCACACCTTCCTGGGTCTTAGGAAGATGTGGGGATAAAGGCCCAACCATTTCTGTCCACCATGGTACAACTCTGGTGGGACACACTCTGGAGAATAAACTTGTGATAAAATAAACTTGTGATAAGTTAAACTTGTTTTTAGTAAGCCATGTAGAAGTAGTTAATATTCCAAGAACATGTTCTTTTACATTTTAAACTATTTAAACTTTTACATTTTACATATAATAGTTTAAACTATTAACTCAAAAACTACTTGAAACTTTTCTAAATTTTAACTAACTTGGGGCGCCTGGATGACTCAATTAAGCGTCTGACTCTTGATTTCAGCTGAGGTCATGATCTCAGGATTTAGTTAGAGCCCTGGATGGGCAGACCCACAGACTGAGAAAACAGAAGAGCTGTGCTGCTGGTAGCTTTCCTAGGCTACGAGGAAAAAAAAAAAAAAATCAAAGCACAGGATCCACCAAAAGTGGGATGCAAATATATCATCACCCAAATTAAGTTGAGATCCTAAGAGCAACATCATCAGGATCAGGGAGAAACTAGATGGAAAACAGAACTCATATGACTCATGACTTGAAGCCCTGCTAAATAGCGCATGCGTGCGTGCGTGCATGCGTGCATGTGTGTGTGTATAAAACAAGTAATCTGAAGTCGAACATGAACTAAGTGACTTGGGACTGGTAGCATGCATAATCAACTTTCCCAGGAAAACATGCCTTCCTAAAGTAGATACCATTATCCTAAGACTTAAATAATCCTGTAATTTTTCATATCCAACAACTCGGACATAGTCACACAAGGAAAAAATCATGAACCAGCAGAAACAGACCCTTAAAAAAATTAAGAAACTGAAATTATCAGTTAAAAACAACAAATAACCAATACTGGGCCAACAAAAGCCACAACTGTAATTTTTAGCAAGTAGTTAGAAACAGTAAAAAATTGGGTCATTTACTTCTTAAAAAGACACTGATCCAGAGATTTAAGCATCTCAACCCAAAACAGGAAAATGAATTCTATCCAAAATATCATAAGGAAATAGCAGAAAACTTAAAACATTTTTTAGAGATTTCTTTCAAAGCAGCAAGTATTAGATTGACAGCTGACTTCTCAAATCACTAATGGAAGCTAAAAAAATTCAAAAAGCAAAAACCCACACTGGAACGTTATCTTCAAGATTCTGAAAAACAACCAAAGTCTACAGTTTAAAAGACCCAAAACATTCTTCAAGATTGAAGATGAAACAAGACACTGTAAGGTAAGCAAAAAATTAAGATAACTCGCCTTCAGTACAACTGTATTAAAGATACTCTAAACAGTATTAAAAGCAAAACGAAAAAGATTTTCAAAGAAAATTGAGAGATGCAAAAATTAATGAAGACCGAAAATGGTAAAAATATAGGCATATGTAACTGAATGTTGATGGTAAGAACAGTACTGTCCAAGAGAAATACAATACCACGCACATACATAATTTAAAATTTTCTAGTATCTACATTAAAAAAGGTAAAATTAATTTATTATAATTTCAACATGCAGTTATAATAAAAAGCTAAATTATTCTATTGTTTTCATACTAAGTTTCAGAAATCTGCAATTTGACATTTACAGAACATGACAATTCAGATGCTAAATTGTCATCAGAAATATTTGACCTTTATTTTTATAGTTTCCAATTGAAAAGTACATTTACATATCCAAGTTGTTCCAAACATACTTAAGGGCTTTTCAACAACCAAATCAAGTATCAATTTCCAAATTTAAATTAGCAATACATAAAACTAAAAATTCAGTTCCTCAGCAACACTAAACACATTTCAAGTTGTCCATGACCAGCCACAAGCAGGCTATGGTATAGAACCTCTTTCTTTGAGTTAAAATTACAAATAAATTTAAAATAATACTAATGGCATATAAGCCAGTAAAAAAATGAAATGAAGAGAAAATCATACAGGAAGCAAGAAATGTTCCAAGCACACAGAAAATATTTGCCACACTGGTCAAATCTTTAAGTAAAACATAGACAACCCAACAGAAGAAACACTGTGGTAAAGAAACGACATTCCAAACAAGAAACTGAAATAGCCATTTTTTACAAAATGCTCAAAGTCATTAATAACCAGAGCACTGTAAATTAAAACAATAATAAGCCACATTCATCATGTGGCAAAAATGAAAAATGTCAACTGTTGGTGACACTGTTGAAAAAAGTTATGTATCATATACTGTTGGTAGGAGTATAAATTGATCTATTTTGGGAAAGTTTGGCATAATCTACACTGTACAAAAATAAATGCTATGTGCATAAAAATACATGCATAAGTACATTCATAGTAGGATTGCTTATAATTGCTAAAAACTAGACACAATCCAAATGTCCATTAAACTTAGACTAATTAAATTAATTGTGGTTTATTAATAAAAGGACTTACTACACACCACTTACTATAGACATTACTATATAAAAATGAAAAAAACATTACTACAGCTAAATGCACTAACAGAGTTAAATACTGATGCACAAGAAGCAAGTAGTACATAATGTATAATCTTTTCATATAGGTAAAATACAGGCAAAATTCATCTGCATCGTGTAGGAATGCCAACATCGGTGGTTACAAAAATACTTGAAATAAAAATAGGAAATAATTACAATAAAAATTCAGTTAGTGTTAACCTCTGGAAGTGGTGAGCAGAATATTCAAGAATGGATGGGGGCAGGAGTTGGTCTCCAATGCCAAGAATGTTCTAGTTCTTGAATTTGGTAGTGATCACCAAGGTGTTGACTTAGTAATTATTCATTATACTACATACCTATGATTTGTGCATTTTTTGCATATTTAGTATCTTAACATAAAAAAAATTTAAATTTGTTACCGAAGGCACTTATATTGCTTTGCTATAATTTTTTTTCTTTTATAAAGTGGTAAATGTTGCAATACAAACAAAATTTTAAGGCACAAGAGTCTAGTTTTTAATTCCGTTTCACAAACTACACACAAGAAAGAAGCACTAGGCAATAGTGTATAAATAGGGTCCACTGCCAAAACATAAGAAGTAAAATGCAGAAAAGTAGCAACTTTAGGGACGCCTGGGTGGCTCAGTTGGTTAAGCAGCTGCCTTCGGCTCAGGTCATGATCCCAGCGTCCTGGGATCGAGTCCCACATTGGGCTCCTTGTTCTGTGGGGAGCCTGCTTCTCCCTCTGCCTCTGCCTGCCACTCTGTCTGCCTGTGCTCGCTCTCTCTCTCTCTCTGACAAATAAATAAATAAAATCTTAAAAAAAAAAAAAGTAGCAACTTTAATTGACAACGTATTCCTAAAGAACTCATTACAGAATTAAATAATACCAATACAACAAAATGAGGAATTTTAGATTACTGGTCTTAGAAGAAACTATAAAGAGTGATCATCTTTCAAAGTACTTTTACCAAAGAAGATAACTGAAAGACAGCAATGGCTCTAGTTAAGATTGTATGAAATGAGTATGAAAAAGAAATGGTGATATTTTACTAAAAAAGAAAGAAAGAAAGAAAGGCTTACTAATGTAAATTCATGAATTCTTTAGTAGTTTAAATTATTATCTTATGAAGGAAACATTTCCAGCAAAAATAGGTGGCATTTAATTGAGAAACCATCTGAGACTAGTAACCAAAGAAACTTAAAACAAAATGCCCATTTAAAAATTTCTCATCTACACTAGAGAAAGAGAATTTTATGTCCCTTCTCTATAAACCGTAACAACATCGACGACTACACCATCCCATATCCCTTTTCTCAGAACAAGCAGAAGCATTGTGCTGCAGCAATAACGCCAAGATACGGGAGGGAAATTCCATTCAAGACTTCCCAGCTTGCTCCCTCCCCCCCAAAACCACTCCAGAATTCCATCGCATAGCGAAGTAAGGAATGATGGTCATAATACCCAATGCAAGTAATGCATCTAATGCCCGAAGGTGTCAAAATTCACACACGGAGCTTTTCTCTCCTCCTGCTCTGAGCTGAAGAAACAGTCAACAGTGACCTGCAGAAGCGCCACAGATCCCATTTCTCTTTAGCAGCAGGATCAAATTTCCTCATCACCACCGGGTGTAGTCAACACCCCGCCAGAGATCTGCTCTCTTGAGGATGACCTGCAGGCGTCAGGGATTCGTCAGCAGCCTCACAGGAAGGCCACGAGACAGAAGGGGCCTGCCTGGCCTAGACAAGCCTGCTCCTTCCCGCATTTCCAGTCTCCGCAACCTTCCGTCCTCATTCTTTTCGATTTGCCTTTCGCCTCTGGCGACCCTGCCTTTCGTTTTCAGGCTAGACTGCCCCGTGTTACCTCTCACAGAAAAGTCTGCCCTTATCAGGGCAGAGCAGGAATCTAGCGACAACAGGAACCGCTTCACAGTCCACTCACCGCGTAGTCCGCTCAGCTTCACCTGCTACTGCCAACGGTACACCACTACTCCCGACATTCCCCGCGCACGCACCGCGTCTCCCACCCCGCCCCACTCCCGCCCAGACACGTGACTTACTTGCGTCTCCGTCCACGCCCACTTCCGTTCCTCCGCTTTCCCTTGGGAGAGAGGAGGGGGGCACGGGGTGTTAAAGAGTAGCGACTTCCTCCTACTCCCCGCCCCCGCCCCTCTACCCCCTGCTACAATGTCTTCCGGGTCGCAAGTGCCTCGGAGCCTTCTGGGAAACCGTATCATTTCCTCCCCTCCCCCTCCTCCTGCCTTCAACCAACCAGCCTCCCGTCAGGGAGGGACATGCGCAGTGAGTGCCTCCCGTCTCTTCTACCCGAACCCCCCCTCCCCCCCCCAGCAGAGAGACCCCAGCAGCAGCAGCAGCTGATGATGAAGAGAGAGGCAGTGGCAGAGGGGGGGCACCTTTTATTTCTATTTTTAAAGGGACAGGACACTAATTTTACCCCACTTCAACCTTGAATTGAGGGGGGTGGGGGGAAGGCGGCTGAGTTCCTTCCCCCACCCTCCAGCCCTGAGACCTGAGAGGGGGATTGAGCCTGAGAAAGAAGAAGAAGGAGTTTCTTCTTCTTCGAAAACCCCCATCCACGACTCCTACCCCCTCACCCCTCCACTAGCCTCCCTCCCGAGCCCCCTCCACCCTCCTCCTCTTTGGCCGTGAGAGGAGGAGAGAAAGAGACCAAAAGCCTCTTAGCAACACAGACCCTTTGCTGCTGCTGCTGCTGCCGCTGCTGCTGCTGCTGCTGCTACTGCTGCTGCTGCTTGGCCCTGGCTGGAGACATCTCACTACACCCAGGAGCAGCCACTTCCCCAGCTCTCCTCCTCCTTCGCCTCCTCCTCCTCCACTCCCCCCCCTTTATTACCCTTTGTGTCATCCTCCACAGCTCCAGGGAAGGCACTCAAAAGTGGGGGGCAGGAAAGGTAAGTGTGTCTGTGGGGGCTTCATTGCCTTCCTCTGGCTCTGACTTTAACTCCGGGGCAACAGTAGCACCAAACCACATACGCAGTGGAGCTCCGGGGTGAGGAGGGGGTGGTGCTGGGGGGGGTGGGTGAAGGAGGGGTTGGAGTGGGGAGGGGTGTGTGAGGTGGGTGCCCATCCTGTCAGAGGAGGAAGGGCACTTTTATTTTTATTTGCTGTTGTCAAAAGTGGTTTCTCTTCTCCAGCTAACATCTGATTGTGTCTTGCTCCAGTGGGGGAGAATACAAAAACAACCCCCTCCTTCCTCCAATGAGGCGCCAGGGAAAGAGACAGAAAGAGACACACTTTCTAGATGTCACTTGAAAAAATTCATTTGGAGAGCTTTTTTCCTTTTTCCCCAGGAAAAGCTCCACTGCATTCGTTTCTGAGTGGGAAAATGTCGGGATTTGGATTGTATTGGAACTGCTTATCCATTTGTAGACCTGAGTGTTTTCCCCTTTTTGGTTCTGTATATGGTTTGGAAATTGACTTCAGTGTTGGAACAGACTTGATTGGTTTTTGCTTTCTGGGTTTAATTTTCCTTTTTGTTGTTGTTGTTGTTGTGTCTGACTTGCATGGAAGATTTCAAATTTTTAGTTGATAGAGGCCTTTGGTTAGGTTTTGACTTGTATTACTGCTTTTTTTGTTAAATGTTTGTTTCATATATTAGCATGTAAAGTTCAAAGCTTAAAATGCTCAAAGTTTAAATACCTCCGGTATTATCTCTCCCTACATACGTTCTTGATAATTATTTTCCATAAGATGAGAATATTAGCTATTTCCTAATTAATCTGGGTATTTTTCTAATCTTTGTAACTTGTCTGAACAAGTAATCCCCATTGAAAACTTTATGTTGTTCTGGCTTCATGGAAGGCCAAACCTCTCCATCAATAGTTTGCCGGATTGGTACCACTTTCAGTTTTAACTGAATTATTTATTTAGTGTTGTAAATTGAGATGAGCTTTTCATCTCTTGGGGTACCGAACCAAATTGATCACTGTATGTGAAAGAACACAAATTTCTAAAATATACTTTCATGAGTCAAATAATGAAGATGTACTTATTATATTCATTGTAGTTAGACAAAAATTGAAAGATAAATCCAGGTTTCGGGTTATAGAATAACAGTCTTCATAAAAATCACTATGGCTTTCAAAATCAGTGCTGTATTTTATTTCACAAATGCTAAAAACTATGTTTCCAGTGTAGGCCTTTTACTAGGGCTTACATTGGAAAGTGGCATTTTGTTTCATACATGCATTTCTTTATCCTTTCCTTGAAGATGGATGCACACATACATATATACACTTTCTCACGCACACACACTCTCTCTGTCTCTCTCACACACACACACCCTTTTTCGTAACTGCATTGGTATCTCTGATCCCATAATTTATGTCAGCAAAAAATATTCTTTTGTAAAGCAGCAATTTTATGATCAGACTGGTAATATGAAAATAGCAATTTGATCAAATAGAAAGGAATGAAGAAAAATAAATCTAGATGGATATTTGACGTAAATATTATTAAAACGTGGTAATACTTTTTAATTTTTATTTTCTTGATGGTAAAACCAAAACATAATGATGCTTCTATTTTAGTGGCAGAAATGCATTGCAACTGTAGAAACTTGTTCTGTAAAATTTTCATTAATGTGTGCAAAAGTAGACATTTCAACACAAGGGGGAAAAGCTGTATAGCAATAAACAATATGGTCTTATTTCCTTCCTTTCTGTCATCAGTTTGAACAGTTTCTTACCTTCCGCTGAGGTGTAATTGGTGCACTTCAGCAGAAATCTGTGTCAAGTTCAAGTTTTTCTCCCAACATCAATACTACTATTTCAGGTCCACCTAGGATTTCTCGTCCTCACCCTACTTCCTCAGCAACCTTAACATAAGAGGGAGAAAGTAGAACTTAGTGAAGAAATCAATTTTAAGTAAAGCAAATTGTGTATATAATTGGAAGATAGTTGCCCTGTCGGCAGCTGAGTGAAAATTTACAGTCTTGACAATAATACCTTTACTTAAGTTGTGTCTGCTTTTCTTTTGAAAATGTTCCTATATCCCACCATCATAGGGTAATTCTGTGTGGTTTGAGGTTTCCAGACTTCCTCTAAGTTGGATAATGATTTATATTTAGAAAACCCTTTTTATTATGGCTTATATTTTAAATATGAAGACATTTTAGGATTGTAATTTTCATCTAAGTGATATCTTGGAGATCACTTTATCCAGCTCTTCATTTTTCATATTGCTGAATTTCAGAGAGCTTGAGGAACTTGCCTAGGTTCCAAGGCCTCTAAGTGGGCAGAACATGAACCAGAGAACTGAGGTCTTTTGACAGTCACTATGCTATACGACCTCATTCTTATGAGGTCGTGAATGAGACTCATTCACAATTTTGTGTATAGCACTTAGGGATTTTATATGGAGGCATATTATTCTAAGAATATTTAGGTATATAGCTTTAAGCTAAAATTTTGTCTATTTATAACTCACTTATTTCTTGTTGATTTAAGAGGTACTGATTTCTCTCATTCTAGATAGTTACTATTAGAATTATTTCAGCTTCCTCTGACGCTTATTTTTTCTCTGCACTTCTAATTAATAAATATACTTCTTACTTACTTCTTACTCTTGGATTAAAGACATGTATATAAGAATGATACATAATGTATTATGAATGTTTACCTGTTAGTCTTGCTGTGTGAACCACTTAAGACTAAGGATTCTTGTCTTGTTAACATTTTATATCCCTCACAGCAGTGTCTGGTGCACAGTAGGCCCTACTGGTTATTTGTCATAATTGATAATAGAGTTAGGCATATTTAAATTTCTTTACTCCCATATGTGGAATTCGTTTCCTTTCTTCCTTTATCTTTCCTACAATTTCTCCACTACCATGATTTTTTAAATTTGTTTTTACTGTAGCTCTCACTTTTTCTGTCAGCCAAAATAAATCCCAATAACAATATAGTATTTATAGAAAATAAAAACATATTCCCTTTAATCCTTGTACAGGATGCAATTTAACAAAAATCATTTATTTTTAGTAAGAGATTTCCAAAAAATTCCAATTAAAAATATACTGGCAAAAGTTCAAGGTACACTTAAATTTCATTTCATTGAATGCCTAGTGCAATAGGATATTGGAATGATTAGGCCACTTTTACCAGCTCTATAAAGCAACTGTTACTTAGGTGACATGTTTCCCTGACTTTGTGTTTTTGGTCCTTACCCAGACACTTATCAACTTGCCAGTTTTCTATGGATATGAAGATTTACTCCTAGTCATCACTGGGACCCCATGAAGTCAGCCAGAAAGCCTATGCCCAACTTATGTACCTTTGCAAACTTGTCTGGATTTTGAATGTATGTGCAAAACATATTGTATTTAGGTATTCATTAAACATCTACTGAGCATCTGCTGTCTGTCAGGCACTGTGCTAGGCATCTGAAAAACAAGGATGGTCCCTACAGTTTAATATGAAGAGATATTTTTATTGTATTCCACAAGTCTATTGGTCATAACTTTATTTTGATGTTTTTTCCTAAATCAATTTTATACTAATTAAATGGATACTATTAGGTGGAAAAACGCATGTTTAAGAAGGATTTTGCTGTATTTTATTAAAATAGAAAAATATAAAGAAAAATTTTCCACTTAATACTGTATTCTGGGGATTTCTATTCTGTATATAATTCATTAATTTTTGATCATAAAATTAGTCTATGTGGCTATCATTGCTAGTATTTTATTGGTACATACTTTTATTTGAACATTATCAACATTGTTCATTGAAGTACCTCATTAAATTATTCCCCCCAAAAAACCAAACCCAAACTCTCCAAATTTAAACTTTTTTTTTTCTCAAAAGTAACTTTTCTCTTTACATTTCATATAACAGGTTATCTTTCATGGTTCATTGGAAGACATGGTACATTATCATTTTGATCATTTAGTTAATTTCTATAGTTTAAGCTACCAGTATAATTTAATTATCATGGAATAATTACAGTAT